CCCACCAGTATTGCAGTTTATTTATTTATTTATTTGGTACCGGGGATTGAACTGCGGCCCTTGTGCTTGCAAGGTAGGCAGCAAAACACTGAGCTAAATCCCCAGCCCAGTATTGCAGTTTATATGATAGTTATTGTGACTGCTAAAACTGGATCAATTTAAAAGGTTTCAAAATTATACTTAGAAATTATAATTGAGACATTTCTCTTTTGTAATGGAATTAAAAGGTTATATCTACATTTTTTTTTTTTGAGACAGGTTCTCACTTTGTAGTGCAGGATGGTCTTGAACTCATTATGTAGCCCAGACTGGCCTCAAAACTGCAACGACACTCCTGCCTTAGCCTCTTTTTTTTTTTTTTTTGTACCAGGGATCAAACTCAGGTCCTTGTACTTACGAGGGAGGAGGTGGAACCACTGAGCTACATCCCTGGCCCTTTAGCCTCTTGAATGAAGAGATTACAGGTGTGCACCACTATGCCCAGCCTATATAGTCTTATTTAAAGATAAATTATTGAAATTTAACCAAAGAGGCACACTAATGAAATACAGTGTACAAGGAGTCAAGGGAAAGTGTTCCAGGTAGAGGAAAAAATATGTACAGAATCTTTAAGAGATGAAAACCTTGACCTGTTCACACAGAACTAAAAGAATTTTCCAAACCTTTTAACCAACCAAATTCTCCAAGCAAGATTCCACTGTGAATTTTAAGTAATTCATAAAAGACTGAGGGTGTGGCTCAGTGGCAGCTCATACTTAGCATGCATGTTCGCCAACACCACAATGTAAATGGAAGGGAAGGAAAAAGGAAGCGGCAGGGGGAGGAAGAGAAGAGAATAGGAGGGGGAGAAGGAGGAGAAGGAGAGGAAGAAGAGAAAGGAAGAACAGATAAATGAGCAGGAGGAAGGGTGAGAAAGAAAAAGCAACAAAAGAAAGAAAAAGAAGTAGGAAGTAACTTTTAGACTAATCATCACTTCTGCTTATTGGCTTAAAATATTATTGATTTGTACAGCATGTCCAGCCTGAGGATACATAACTTAAAAGAAAAGAATTTTTTAGGTTGGCACAAAAAACAAAATAAAGAGTATAAGGTAGAAATATGAGCCAAAGAGTTACAGTTTTTCAGCCCAGATGAAATAAAGAACACAAAGGCAATGATTACGTGGTGAACACACACAATGTTGATAATATAAATGCCATTGACTTCCTATGTTTGCTGAGGGTAACATCAAGGGCATCTTACTGGTTTGTTTTGCAGTACCAGGGACTGAATCCCGGGCCTTTGCACTGAGCTACCTCCCCAGCCCCCTTTTTATTTTGAGGCAGGGTCTCTAAGTTGATAAATTGCTCAGTCTGGGACTGAACATGAAAAACTCCTGCCTTTGCTTCTCAGAATGCTAGAATCTCAACCGTGTGCCACCATGCCTGGCCATCTTACTCTTTTAGCGTAACCCACAGTTCCATCGCTAAGTTGGTGGTAGACAACACTCACCTCTAACTCCCAACCTCTGACTTAAGTGGAACTGACTTCAGCTTCAGCTCTAAAGGTAGTAGCCATTCTGAACAGCCCATCCTCCAGGCTAAAGGTTACTTAGGGATACTCCAGAGAATTTTGTTCAAAGGGGGAAAAAAAAATAGGGATAGATTTTGCAAGTTTGCAAAAATCAGACACATTCAAATACACTTGGTTTCCAGAAACGACCCCCAATTCTATCATACAAGTACCATGTTCATTATATCCTATTCCAATACTTTTGTTTATGTGTGGTGAGGCAGCATATAGTATGGAGGTAAAAAATGTAAAAGCTAGGCACTTGATCTTGACTTCAGCTCTGCTGCTTCTGAGATGTGACCTTAGCCAAGTCACTTGAGTTCCCTATGACTCTGTTTCCTCATCTATAAAATGGGAATAGTAAGAGAACCCATTAAGTAGGGTTGACATTATAATGAATTAATACTTAGAAGCACTCAACACATTCATGGCAAGCCAGGCGCAGTGGTGTACACCTGTAATCCCAGCAGTCGGGAGGCTGAGGCAGGAGGATTGCCACAAGTACATAGCTAGCCTGGGCTACAGAATGAGTTCAAGGCCAGCCTGCACTACATAGAAAGACCCTGTCTAAAACAAAACAAAAGAAAACAAAACAAAAATCCACAGCACAGGTTAAGTGTTATATAAATTTTAGCTACAGTTATATTGAATTTAAAAAGGAAAGAGCTTAAACAGTGCCTGATATATAGTAAACCCAGCATAAATACAGCAATGTCTCAATTCCTCCACACTTTTGTTTGCAAACAATTCAATTCACAAACAAAAGCACTCAGCAAAACTTTGCTTCCATTTGTGAACTCCACATCAGGGGACAAACACGACCATGGCCGTCTTTCTTACTAAAACACAAACACAGCCATCTTCCCCAAAATCGTAATAAATTAACTGTGTAAACCGAGGTACCACTGTATTACACTTTTTGTAAGACTCCTTTCATTTGTCTATTCAACAAATATTTACTTACTGCCTTTTTTGGTTCAGGCCAAAGATGTCTTCCTTCTAGACCGGCAAAGTCTAATAGAAATGTAATGAATGTTCTATAAGTCTATGATTGCATTAAGAAAGGAAAAAGAAACTAAAATCACTTTTACTATTTAATCCAATATCCAAAATATTCTCATTTCACCATGCTGTTAATATTAAAAACACAACAGAGTTTACATTATTTTTCATTCTAAATCTTTGTGATCTGGTGTGTATTTTGTACAGTACATCTCAATATAAACTAGCCACATTTCAAGTTTTCAGCAGTAACTCGGTTAATGGCTAATCTGGAGTTCTAGACATTAAAGGATAGGGAAGAGGAGAAATATTACTTTGTTCTCCCTTCTATCTTCACTAACTATGCAATTTTTTTTCAATTTGTAAAGTCCTTCCACATTTTGTCTTTATTAAACAATGCATCTACCTGGCGTTTTTTTGGTTTTGTTTTTGTTTTTTTGGTATGCGGAAATCAAACACAGGGCCTTGCACCTGCTGCTATGCCTCTGAGTTACATCCCCAGCCCCAGGATGGATCTGGTTTTAACAGCAAGTTTTCATCAGGAGGAATCACAGCAGAAGCGGCTAGCAAACAGGAGTCTATGAAGGAATACCTCCCCTCCGTCCCCTTCACCCAGTCAACAAAAATTCCAAGGGCTACCACTTGCCAAGAACTGTGGTAGATAAGGATATAGACAGCAACAAAGCTATTCTTTTGATATTTTCTTTAGGAAGAGAGAAAAAACTTCAACAATCAAATAAGAAGCATGAGAAAATAATCACAGGATGGAAGAGCCAGGGAAGGGCAGTCAGAACTGATGACACTAGGCTGAGAGCTTAAGACAAAAGGTGCTGAATGTTCAAAATGACAGGCAAAGTGTTCCAGGTAGGGGGTAATGCGTGTGCAGTCCTGAAAATTCAAAAAACAAAACAAAATAAACCCACAATGTTGCTAGAGATGATTTGGGTGAAAGTATGACGCAGGAGATAGTGAAAGGTGCAATCAGGGGGTAGGTGATTATGAAGCTGTTAAGATAAGGACTTGGATTTTATATTAATATCAATAGGAAAGCACTAAATTTTAGTGTTTAATTTTTTTTTTTTTTTGAGACAGGGTCTCACTATGTAGTTGAGACTGACCTGGAACTCACTAAGTAGCCCAGGCTGGTCTCGAATTCAGCAATCCTCCTGCCTCAGCCTCCCAAGTGCTGGGATCATAGGCATGTGCCACCACACCTGGCTAGTGCCTTAAAGATTTTTAAGAGCACTCCATTTTCAGATAATTCTTGCTGCAGGTTAAAAAACTGTTTAAGGACAGTAAAGATGGAATCTGGGATTTCAGTTAGAAGGCAACTGAGTAGAGCACGTGAGCAAGGGAGGTGGCGCTGCAGGTTAAGAAAGGTGCTTGGGAAAAATTAACGAATGATCTCTCCCTCCAGTATTTTTGCAAAAGTTATCCTCTTTGTTCCGCAAGAAATTTCAAATGAGGTGAATGTTGTTGTCTTGTCCCATTATGTATTTTGGGGAGAAAGATGTTCTTTTCCTCAAACAACGTGAAATTCAATCTTTGTTAGTGCTAACTGTAAGAGCACACAATATGAACGTCACTAAAGTATTATTTCCAAAATGTAATTTTCCTTTTCGAGAAGGTAGTAGGTCCATTCCCAAGCAGATGATATGGCTTGAGAACTGAAAAAAACAGGAATCAATCATTAGGACCCTACACGGAAAGAACCAAGCACAGAACAAAGGCCTTGAGACAGGAAGGAAATTTGCCATGCTTAAGGAAGAGAAAGAACTCAGTGGCTGGAACAGCCAAGAACGTGGGTCACATTCAGTGAATGCCCAAGACATGTCTTCTAACGCACTTGTCACCTCCACGATGCTGACAAGTAGTGGCCACCAAGAAACTGAGAAAGGTGTCATGCTCCAGCTGAAATTATTTTTCACGGATGCTTTCACTTCTGGCGAACAGAACAGAAATACTTATTTAAAAGAGAATGGATATATCTAGGAGGCCTGTCACGAAGGCGTGACAATTCAGTTCTTTACGGAGGTCACAACCCTCCCACAAACCCCAAACCTCACACCGCCACACCCTCAAGAATCAACACGTCAGTAAAGCCCTGTGGACTTTATTCCTGCCGAGGTTCTTCAGTACACTCCACACACCGCAGCTTTGCCTACCCGACCCAGTGCCTAGCAGCTAAATAGAGGCTTCTCCCGTGGCGGTGCACAGGAACGCTCCTCGCTCAAACCTGAGACAATTCAGGAAATGATGCGCCGGCAGGATAAAGCTAAGCGTCACCTCCGGTCGCCTCCACAGCCTCCACTTCACCGGAAGTTGCCTACGTAGGAAGCAAAAGCTGTCGGGTATGTGTGTATATATATATATATATATCTCCCTAATAGCCAATGAGCTTTCCCCACATCCCTCCTCTTGTAACAGTTCTGTCCAATCCTGGCTTATGACGTTAAAGGGGCGGGAACAAGGGGAGATACAGACACCTAAGAGACCTGGCATCTTTGTAGGTCCGGAACCAGAAGGGAGGCAAGATGGTTTACATCTCGAATGGTGAGTTGCTGTGGGGACGACCACTGGCCTAGAAGTCTGGACCCCGGGATTCTTCCCTCCTCGTTAGCTGGGCCCGGGACTTTAGCGCCTAGTGGCCGCGCGGAGCCGGATGCGAAGCCGGGCGTGTCAGCTGATAGATTCCGGCGGTCCGGGGCGGGGGTCCCTTTGGTGAACACCGCGCGGAGTCCTGCGGGCCCCACGATGAGTTCTGGGAGCCCGGCGGCTTCCCCCGGTACAGCTAACTGCTGATTGTGAATTTGCCGAAGTCTTTCCTCTCATTGGTATCCTCACCTAGATATGACAACAATTTTTATCCGGTACTCTAGCGTTTGCCTTGGGGATTGTTACAGTGTCCTGTGCTTATTAATCTTTCTAACAGAAGACCTGGTCAGGTGGTATTTTACTTTTACGGGTGGAAATTGAAGCGCAGATAAGATAACCTGCCCAGGATCGCAAAGGTAGTTTGTTTTTGTTTTTTGTTTTTTTGAGACAGGGTCTCACTATGTAGTTGAGACTGACCTGGAACTCACTATGTAGCCCAGGCTGGTCTCGAACTCACAGCGAACCTCCTGCCTCAGCCTCCCGAGTGCTGGGATTACAGGCGTGCGCCACCATGCCCGGCTGGCAAAGGTAGTTTAATGGCTGAGTTCGAATTCGACCCCAGCAAGGCTGTCATCGGAGGCCACCTTCTCAAGCTACATTGCCTCTTTCCACAACAAGTAAAATCCAGAAATCAAAAACAAAATATCTGAACTAGGTTGATAATTAGATAAAATCAGGATAGGCTGTCCCTCCAAGAGTGTGACTAGTCACACACAGCTTTTTGCCCAGATTTCACTGAGCTCGGGAAGAAGCACCAGTCCATATAGGTGTACTAAATTATTACTGGAATAGAAAAATCAGAGAATTCCGTGACTTCACAAAGAAAATGACTGCGAAGAAAAGGCAGTGTAGCTGGTTATGATAAGCGCCAGAAGCATCTGCACACCTGTTTGACTTGGGTGAAATTCCTGTATGCAGTTGTGGAGACTCCTTGGGGCTTTGGGAGGAGGTAGTGGTTCTATCTGAGTCATCCGCTTATGTCTAGAGGATCGTGTAGAGCAGATTAAGATGGGGAGAAGTCTTCTGGCTGCTTACCCTTTGTGGTTTCGGAGTTTTGTTGTGTTTTGTTTGTTGTTGTTTATTTCCGAAATGTTCTCACTACCCACTTAAAGATTTTTGAAGTAAGTACGCTGATGAATGGTAAAGGAAGGCATCAAGATTTCATTTAGGCCCTTGCAGTTTTGAGCTCTTACAGACTTTAGTTTGTTTTATATTCTTTGTGATTAATGCTGGTAGCATCTATTAATCCATTATCAAATAATTCCTTATATTTGTTGAGTGTCTTAATGTATTAACAACATCCTGTTCGATAGGCATAAATACCAGTGCCTTTTATCTCATTTCTGTTGAGAAATGCAGCTTCATTTAAGCTTTTCCTTCTGGAGTTGCAGAGGGACAAAGGGTTCTGCCTTGTGAAAGCTTTTCTCCCTCTGTAAAGTGTAAACAGCAAGATAAGATCATGATCAGGCATATAAAAGTTTCTTTACACTCAAAATGAATGAGATCAGATTAGATCAATCTTTGTACAAGGAATGCATTTATCAGTACTGTACTTCATAACTGACAAAACACTTCTGTCAGGTGACTTATTTTCTTTTCAAAAATTCTATACAGGGCTGGGGATTTAGTTCCGTGGTTCTACCACCTCCCTCGAAAGCATGAGGGCCAGAGTTCGATCCCTGGTACCAAGGGGGAATACAATCCATACAATGACTAGCCTTGAAATATTTTTTCTCAGAGAAAGAAAATGTGACGTGAGCCCACAAAGCACAGCTAATGAGAGGCACAACCAAGCCTGTACCTACTCTCTGACTCTTTAGCCTTTCTTTGTTCCCCGCATCAGTGAGAGCTTAGACCCAAATGGATCAGCCTGGAAGAAAGCTGGTCATGAAAAGGAAAAGCAAACCCTGGTAGATGAGGAGAGTAAAGCTCACGGAGAGATGAAGTAGCTGGTTTAACAGCTGTTCTTCTCTCACAATATTCTGACCTCTTGATTGCAAGGCTGAAACTGACTTTTTAGGTAATAGCCACTAATAAAGTGGTTTGAGAAAAAAAATAGGTCCGGTTTTGCTTAGGGTTAAGCTATTATTATAATCAAGAGCATCCTGTTACAGAAAATAGTGGTCATTTTTAAGGAAGTACACAAGCCATATTCCCCTGTCAATTTTTTTTTTTTTTAAATACTTGGTATCGAACTTGGAACCTTGCGGCTTGCAAGGCTGGTGGCGGAACCACTGAGCTAAATCCTGGCCTTGGGACAAGCCATATTGTCTTCAGCACTTGAAACCTAGAGATGCTTTGATTTATAGTGAATTGATCACAATGAAACCTAGAGATGCTTTGATTTATAGTGAATTGATCACAATAACTCATCCTCAAGACTTATGATTGTATGCATAAAATCTTTTTATATAGATAAGAGATCGTGCAAGAGAAAAAAAAAACATGCTGAATCTGAACCATTTAGGAAGTGATTGATATCCACCCAACCTACTTGTTTCTTCAAAATACTTGTATAAACAGATAATTATATATATGCCCATGTTCATAGTACTATAGCATGATTCACAGTAAGCAACCTGTGTTCATCAACAGATGCATGGACAGACAAAAATGTATATACATCCAATGGAGTATTATTCAATCTTTAAAGAGGAAAGTTGTTTTTTTTTTTACAAATGGTAGATGAACCGTGAAAATGCTGTGCTAAGTGAAATAAGGTGGGCACAAGAGACAAGACATTTTATCGTTGGTGACCTTGACTGTGTCTTAGCTTTGGTGATAACAATTGTCAGCCTGTAGCCGGACCTGTTTGTTCTACACTGTCAAATGACTATCCCTCACTTTCTTTTTCTTGGTTTTCACATGTATGTGCAACTTTTATGCCTTCCTGTATAATAAATAAGTAGGGGTACCTCTTACATGAGGTGTCTGAAGGAGTTAAATTCATAGTCAAGGGCCGGGGATTTAGCTCAGTGGTTCAGTGGCCTGCCTCGCAAGCGCAAGGACCCGAGTTCGATCCCCGGTACCAAAAAAAAAAAAATTCATAGTCAAAAAATAGGATGCTTCTCTGCAAAGGCTGAGGCGGAGGGTAATGAAGAGTCAGAGTTTAATGGGAGTAGATTTTCAGGTGGGGAAGATGAAGTTTCGGGGGTGGCAGTGGTGACCACTGCACAACAGTGGGAAGGAGGATGTACTTAATGCCGCACAGCTCTACTTTAAAAATGGTTAAAATGGTAAATTTTATGTTATATAGGTTTTACCACCAAAATGTTTGATTAAATGTATTTTACCAATGAAAAAGGAAGAAAAATACTTGGATAGATGGAAGTCACCCACTGGACGTACATATCAGAGTCAGTAAGCATTTGTCGTGTTAAAGAGATGGCCCTTAAATCATGGCACCTCACTTCCTTTTCAGTGCTCCTTAGAATGATGCACCCACTGTGGGCTTCTTGCATTGACTGGCTCAATGGCTGAGTGTATCACTGTTACCTAATTAGTTAAACATAATGCCTTTTGGGTTAGGGATTTGTAACACTCTTTCTTTATTGTCCATAGGACAAGTGTTGGACAGTCGGAGTCAGTCCCCGTGGAGACTATCACTAATAACAGATTTCTTCTGGGGAATAGCTGAGTTTGTGGTTTTGTTGTAAGTATAGTAGTGCTCTTAATTGTCCTGGTGTTTAGGGTGACAGAAGTACATTAGATATATTATGTTGGGTATCTTAAGATATTCCAAACTCGGCTGGGGATTTAGCTCAGGGGTGCTGTGCCTGCCTTGCAAGCACAAGGTCCTGAGTTCGAGCCCTGGTACCACAAAAAAGAAAAAAAAAAAGATATCCCAAACTTAGCTTTCCTGAAGCAGTTTAATTTAAAAAATAGCTTTACAAAGAGAAATTAATACTTGTGTAATGTTAAAGCTGCTACTACCAAACAACTTACAGTTGTGAAGGTAAGTTAGTTGGGTTGGTAAGCTTGACCATGTCTAACTAAGTAATTTTTGGAATGAAGAGTTAAAATTGATACACAGCCCCCCAAAATTAAACGTCCCCACAATTTCAAGTGATTGTGAACTAAATGTATCTTTGGCTTTTCATATGCTGTTCATTTTGTAAAAATTAACTGCTGACAAGTTTTACTGATCTTGAGTGTATATTTGAATGTCTGATAGGGAAACAAAGAGGTGGGAAACTGTCCCTTCCCTGACTGTGACATCAGTGGTGACACCTTCATAGAAGGGGAATGGATATCAGAGGAAGTCACCACATGGAGGAAACCAGATGAAAAATGGCATAGAAGTCTGAGTATCACACTGTGCTCTTCATTTGCTTGTAGATATCGTTTAGAGAGCTTAATTTTATGGCTATGCAGAGCATAAATTAAACAGAGCAGAATGTAAAATGAAAGACATGGTCCCATAAAAAAATATAGCTGGGGACAAGAGAGGGCCCTAAGTTAAGCACAAAACTTACAGTGTTTTCCAAATTTCAACTATTCCATATTATTTACTACTTTATCTTACTTAAGTCCTCCTGTTCCACAAATAAAGAAAATTCCATTTCAGTGGATTCCCAGAAGCCCCGTTTCTATGCCCTACCTCCTTCAGCCCCTCACTCCCCAAGGTAAGGTTAGGTAGCCTGTAGCAGGGGAAATCCAAGAGGAAGGCATGTGGGGTACTGTAAAAAAAAAAAAACTCTGGGACCTCACAGTGGGTTCTGAATGGTGGAAGAACTGGAGAACTCTGCTCTCATGTTCTGCCTAAGGAAATTATTAGCGGAAAAGGAATAGAAGGAACAGTTTGTTAGACAGATGCTTAAACTAGGTAGTGTCATCCAGCCAGCTACTCAAAATGGGGAGCTCCTGAGTAAATTTAATCATCCTTTCATAGAGATGATAAAACCATATTTCCAGTTAAGACTATGGAAATACATTTTATAATATTGGCAAAAGTGATATCTCATTTTTTTTCCCGGTGCTGGGAATCGAACTCAGGACCTTGCACTTGCCAGGCAGGTGCGGTGCCACTGAGTGACATCCCTGGCGCGATCTATTTTTGTTCCTTGTTTCAGTTTCAAAACTCTGCTCCAGCAAGATGTGAAAAAAGGAAGAGGCTACAGAAACTCATCTGATTCCAGATACGATGATGGGAGAGGGTACATCTTTTCTTTTTTCTGGATAATAGTTGTTTACCCCTTTGTGTGTCACAATTACATTTGATGTTTACAGAATAGGTAGAATTACGCTTTTATAAATTAGCAGTTTGAATCCCATTTTATAAAAAATGAATGGGTTACTGTAAATTAAAAGCGAAGTTACCTCTGATTTGATAAAGTTAATCTGGCAAAGCTAAAATCTACATTGAATATCCTATGGAAAAGTCTAAATTAAAGGAGGAAAACAGATGGTCCTTATTAAAATCTAGAGATTTTAATTTTACAGTCTGCATTTCTAGCTGCTGATGAAAAACTCAGCAGATCATGAAGATCAAGTAACACTGGGCTAGGCTTGTGTTTCCACATGGTGGGAATTAGCTGCAGCTGCTTTTCCTCCTGGCCCTTAGAGAAGGTGCCTAGCCCTAGTCCTTGCTTGGTTCATTTTCCTCACATGCATGATAGGTCTGATTCCTATAAGTGCTTATATTTTTGAGTCCTGGCCGAAGTGGCAGTTCTTAAAGAATCTTTTTAGGATTACGTAGTTACTGAGTAGTTTGAAGAAATCCATTGAAGTTTTATCTATGAAACAGTGGATATACTGAAGGCGGCTGTGTCACTTGGGAGGCTGAGGCAGGAGGATCTCAGCAGTTTGAGGCCAGCCTGAACTACAAAACAAAACCTTATCTCAAAAACAAACAGTAATATTTTATCTTTTCTTAGGCCACCAGGAAACCCTCCCCGGAGAATGGGTCGAATCAACCATCTTCAAGGTCCCAGTCCTCCTCCCATGGGTGGCGGATGAGGAAGGTAACTTGAAATCTGAAATCTGGTAGGGTTTTACTTTAGTAATTTTTCTTTGGAAAAACAGTAATTGCCAAAAAGTTTGTTATTATTCCAACGTAATTCTGTGGGAAAATATTGATATCTTAATCCTTGAAAAATTCTTTGATTTCATCAAAATATCATTTTAGAAAAGTTTTAGAACATGTAACGGGTTGGGCTTTTCAGATAGGTCCCACTTAACAACTCATCCCAACCTTGTCTTTTAGGTAAATGTCTGCTGTAAGAAGCAGACAACTAGACATGCACATTCCTGGCAGAAGGAAACCATCAGAAAGTGGAGCTCTGGACGAGTAGATGAATGTGTATGTCTCCACGGGGATTGCTCTGTGTTCTCACAGGTCAATGAGGTCACGCTGGGAACTCTCTGCAGAGATCTGGCCTGACTGATAATGCAGTTCTATAAATGCAATGTGTGTCTCATGGTTGTTTTTGTATAGTTGATTAAAGTATTGATATAATGTTAATAAATATTTTTAGGTTGCATACTGACCCTTCTTCTTTATATAATTAAATCACAGAAGCTCTGACCCTGGAGAAAATAAATAAAAGGCTGTGTGTTTAGTACTATTGGTGTCCCCTTTTTTCAACTTCTGAAGCAGTGTGCATTGTTCCTTTGTTCTCATTTATAAATAAATTGCTATATTTCAGTAGTATGCATATATCTGTGTTCTTCAATGAATGTGTTTATTGTGGTACTGGGGATTGAACCTGGGGCCTTTGCACTGAACTACATCCCCAGCTCTTTTTAGTTTTCATGTTGAGACAGGATCTCCTTTGTTGCTAGGTTGTCCAGGCTGGACTTAAAGTTGTGATCCTCCTGCCTCAGCCTCCCAGAGTGCTGGGATTACAGGCGTGCACGACCATGACTAACAATTTTTATCTTTAATATGTTTATCTCATGAATCTAATACACAAATATAATTAATAGGATATGTATAAAGTACAGCTGAGGAAAACTGAGCTTCATAGTGAAGATGTGCTAAGTCCACTTACTAGTGCTTAGTTATGGTTTACATCCAAAAACATCCCCACAAAAGTCTCACATGTTCAGAGGTGGAGCTGTTAAAGGATGACTGGATCATCGGACTGAACTCATCCCTGGATGAATCCATAGTTTATGTGCTATATTAGGAGGTGGAGCCTGGTTGGAGGAAGACTGAAATGTGGAAAATGGAAGAATGCACTCTGGTATCCTATTCCTCTCTTTCTGAGCTTCTTGGATGCCATGGGTTGAGCGGCTTCCCTCCATGCCTTTCCACCATACTGTTCTGCTCTGGAGCCAGCCAACCATGCACGAACACAACCCCACTGAAACCGTGAACCAAACAAAATAAGCCTCTTTCCAAGGTAAGTGGTGTCAGGTATTTTGTCCCAGTGGCCTCAAAGTGCCCAACAGAAGTGCTGTTAGTACGGGAAGCAAATCTGGGGCTGGAGGGCCACTGCCCCGCGGTCCACTGACTGAGCAACCCCAAGGGCCAATCCTTCTCTTGTCCTAAGAGAAGCAGAAGGAAGAACATGAAAAACGCAGGGAATCTCTGAAGCTTCAGGCCAGAGCGTATTCATGTTGGATCCTGTGGCACGAACTTCGGTGACCTTTTCCCCCTGGAACTCTGTTAAAGGTTCATACGAGGGGACTCCATGTCGCGCATGTGATTAAAACTGAATTCTGGGAGAGTCTGTCCGAGGTGCCCCTGAGATGACTCAGCAAGCACCCTGTCGTTCACATCCAGAGTGGTCCAATGAGAGGTGCCTTTTAAAGGCAAAAGTGATTTATCTTGGCTCTTCTATTCCCCTGCTGTTCTAGCACCACTTGCTTGCCCACGCCACCTTTTAGTTCTGTTGGTACAGGCCTGGCCGCCATGAGCACACTTTCCCTTTAAATTCAACAAATGTAGTTGCTTTTTCTTTTAGCGTCGGGTGTACACCTGCAGTTCTTTGCTCACTGTACACAAGAATCGGGAATCTTATCTTTCAGATCCAGGGCACACAGTATCACTATCTTGACAGATCTGAATTCTACACCATGGCTTAGGTCCTGCCTCTTGGTTTTAAACCCCATCTGAATGCTGTCAACTTTTAACATTTTTCACTAGAACGGAAAGCTGTATGAGATAGGACTTTTATCCTTATCTGAAGCCTTTGAGCAATCGGAACTGAAATATCTATAGGAAAAATAATACAGATAATTCTTCCAGTATGTAAGACTCTGAAACCAGATGTTTAAAGATTATACATCTATATATATTTATTTTCCTCCCATTTGTCAGGAAATGAGGATGTGTAGTTTATTGACCACTCAGTTCTATCTGACATTTTTACACATTTAATCCCCTTAAAGTAGCTTGTGTTCAAATCTAGTCTTGGCTACTCAGTTGCTTATAATCTTGAGACAATTAAGTCATTTTTATCCTAGTTCCTTCACTTGTAAAATAGGTATTAAATCCCTTCCTCAGAGAGCCCTTTACTCAGCAAAAATAAATTTTAGAAACATCTGTTGGGGCCTTACTATGTGCTGAAGGTAACTGGCAAACACGGCTAAGTCTTGTCACGGACCTTACATTCTAGCCTAGGAGATGGTGCACCGGCAAGATCATTACAAACTAATGTCGCATGCTTCAAAGGAAACAAGATAAGAAAACTGGGGAAGGCCCAAGGTGACATTTGAGTTGGTACGTACTATACAGGACAAGATGAGCCAGCTCAGGGAAGAGCAGCGGCCAAGTTGAAAGAAACAGCAAGTGCAACAACCCAGTGTGGGGAAGAGAAGAAGAAACTAAGTATAGCTGGCTTGGTATATCTGAGAAAAAAAAGAAATGGTTTAGCTGGGAATGCTAAGGAAAGGGAAGAGTGATTGGAGGTAAAATAAGAAACAGCAGGAAGAGATTTGAGTAAGGCCTTGAAAGAAGTTAGATTCTGTTCCCTGAGCAAAAGGAAACTGTTATGGTTTATATATCTGGATGTCTCCCTGATAAAGGGCATATGATCTTGTAAGACTTAAGTCTCACTTTTACTCCTGCAGCGTGAACAGCCAAGAGGCTTCCACGATGCTGGGCTCAGAAGCTCAGCGAGGCTCCAGGAGCTTGTCGGACAGCGAGAGTCACCCAGGAAGGAACACACCAGGCAAGTTGGCAAATAGACCTTTATTAGTCTGGCCAGACGGCACTCCCCAAGCCAAGCAGCTCAGAGAGGCGGCTAGCTCAGAGACAGAGGCCACTTTATATAGGGCTAAAGAAGGAACACCAGGCAAGTTGGCAAATAGACCTTTATTAGTCTGGCCAGACGGCACTCCCCAAGCCAAGCAGCTCAGAGAGGCGGCTAGCTCAGAGACAGAGGCCACTTTATATAGGGCTAAAGAGGGGGTTTACATGTAAAACTTACGGGAAGAGGACAAAGGTAAAGAAGCGGTTGTTCTGACCTATTGGTTATCAGGCACATACTTGACTGTCAGGTACTAATGATTAGCAGATTGCTCATCCACTGTTCTGTTTACAACTTAGATTCTAATGTTTAGAACATTCAGACTACAGGCATGCAAGGAGTGGCGCAATCCATGTTGGGTCTCTGTGTATCAGTCTCCACCATACACAGTTATCTAACAATTCACAATTAATCACTAGTTATCCTATAAGGGATGGGGGGAGCGACAGTCTCTAGGTCGTTTACTGCTCAACATGGAGTCGCTCTGGTTCAGTCAGCTCTTACAATCTATGGACCTCCAAGTAATATAAGGGAAATGTAACTCCCAACCTCCCAGATGTGTGACATGCCAAGTTCCAGTCCTCTAAAATGGAAGAATGAATTATAGGAACAATAGAAATTAAGAGTAGGAAGAATTTATTGAGAGAAAGAAAGCTGTCTGGGCCAGGGATTTAGCTCAGTGGTTCTGCCACATGTCTCAAAAGTGCAAGATCCCGAGTTCGATCCCCAGTACCCACCAAAAAAAAAAGCTCCTGTCTGAGATCTGGGAAAATGCCCCCCCCAATTCTCAAGGGTGTTTTATTGAGCAAAGCCACGAAATGAAGTGGGTTGAAGATGGGACAAAACTGTAGTCAACTAATAAGATTAAAAGTATAAACTGGGCATGGTAGAGCACACCTGTAATCCCAGCACTCGGGAGGCCAAGGCAGGAGGATTGCTGTGAGTTTGAGACCAGCCTGGGCCACATAGTGAGCTTCAGGTCAGTCTCAACTACATAGTGACAAAAAAACAAAAACAAAAAAAGTATAGTCTCTTCGGTAATATTGATCCAATGGGAAATCACAAAGTGGGTATGAGGCATGACAAAGCTATAGTCAACCAATAAGATTACAAAATATAGTTGCCTACATAATATTGATCAAATGGGAAGCAAGTCATGTAGCAATCCCACCTGGACCAAACAAGGGTTTTCCAGGAAGGGACCTTTCCTGGAAAGGATGGGTTAAGGTCTTGTCCCCACCCAGGTGACTGCTGCCTGTTCAGAACATCAATCACTGCTGTTCATCCCTAGGGAAAGTATGTGGGTGTAGTTCTTTTCCTTTAAACCTGGCCATACTCATCTTCTATACCCTGCCCTGCCCACTGCCTATAATATTTCTAATTATCTTAGCTGTCTACAACACCCTCAAAGCCTCATGCCTGCAAAGATGGGGCTTTTGAAAGGCGACTGGATGATGGGGGACCTATAGCTGATATGCTATTAAAAGATGGCTTGTTGGAAGAAGCGAGTCACCGGGGTTGCAACCCAGTAGGCTGCATCTCCCTTTCCAGCTCCTTTCCTTTGCTCTCTGCTTCCTACTAAGACGTGAGCAGCTTTCCTCCACCAAGGCCCTTCTGCCACGCCACACAACACTGAAGGACTGAAACTTCTAAAACGTTAGCCAAAATAAACCTCTCCTCCCTGAAGTTTGTGGGTACTGGGTATTTTGTCCCAGGGAGGAAGAAAGTAAGACAGAAACCACGAATTTAAAGCATGGGTGTGATATTTATTTTTGTTTGGAGTAACTCATTGGAAATATTTTACTATTGGAATGCTGAGTACATAGTACTGACTGTACTTATGTTGGTGTATTTTAAAGCATTTAACTGTATAGCAGGAAGTTAGTTTGAGAGGGTGTGGTGTTAATTCAGGTGAGACGACAGTGGTTTGGGCTAGGTGGTGGCACGGGAATGGAGAAGCTGAGGAATTCAAGATATTTTAAGATACTGAAGAATTTGTTGATGGTTTGGATATCAAAGCTGAGGGCAAATGAACAGTCAAAATGATATTTAGCTCAGTGGCACGGCGGTACTTGCCTCGAAAGCACAAGGTCCTGAGTTCAATCTCTGGTAGCAAAAATTAAAATTAAAAAAATAAAGATATTTCTGACCCGGTGAAAGTGGGAGTCATTTTGGAAGGGTGCAATCAAGAGTTTCATGCTGTATATTTAAGTTTGCAAGAGCTCTAGTTTTAGACATTCAAGTGGAGATACCAAATAGGCAGTAGGTTATCAGTCCTGATCTCAGGGAGAGGTTCAGTGGAAATACAGTATGTGTTAGGGAACCGTTTTCGTAGTTAAAGCCATGAAACTGTATAAAGTCATCCAATGAACGTGTCAAGAGGCGCCCTAAGCCCCAGAAAACCCCAGTATCAGAGGCTGGACTGGGCATGACCAACAAAGTACAAGGAGAACTAGGAGTAACTAGTGTCTGGGAAGCCTGAAGGAACACCTGTGAGCACGAAACCAGATGCTAGCTTTAGGTTAACCCACTAAAAGTGCTCGGAAAGCTTTGCGTTTTACCCCGCTGGCCCCCGCAGCCAAAACGAATCACAACTTCCACTTACGTCACCACGAGCTCCGCTCGCAGCCCCGCCCCTCCAGCGTTCCCAGAACCCTCTGGGGTGACGCCGCGGCGACCATCTTGGTTCTGGGCTGCCGGTCTGAAGGCTGCGCCTGCTCAGTGGCTCCTGCGCGCAGGAGGTTGAAGTGGTGAAACTGAAGCGAAAGGCTGGTGGTCGTCCGTGGCCGCGATGACCCAGGCCGAGAAGGGTGACGCGGAGAACGGGAAAGAGAAGGGCGGGGAAAAGGAGAAGGAGCAGCGCGGCGTGAAGCGGCCCATCGTGCCAGCCTTGGTGCCGGAGTCACTGCAGGAGGTGGGGTGCCGTAGGCGGGTCTAGATTAGGCCCTGCGCCCAGCGTGAGGGCCCGCTGCCGGCCGGGGCGCTGGGCTCTGCTGAGGAGAGGCGGCCAGGCGGCTGTCGGAAGGGTTTGG